AAGCCAATTCCTTAAAACAAACAAGCAAATAAATAAATATCCTATTGATTCTGTTCTCTGGAGAACCCTAATACAATGTCACAGTCAAAATGGCAAGACGAACTTGGAGGTCTCCTGTATCTCCAGAATTTTTTTTTTTTTTAAAGATAATATTTACTTCACAGAGAGACAGCCAGAGAGGTAACATAAGCAGGGGGAGTTGGAGAGGGAGAAGCAGGCCTCCCACAGAGCAGGGAGCCTGATGTGGGGCTCAATCCCAGGACCTGGGGCTCGATCCCAGGACCCTGGGATCATGACCTGAGCTGAAGGCAGACGCTTAATGACTGAATCACCCAGGCACCCCTATCTCCAGAATTTCTGACCTACCCTGTAGAAGCTCTGAGGTAGTTCCACTTGGTGGCTAATGTGTGGGTTTAGAAGGTGTAGCTCTACAACTTCTATCAGCTGTGGGCCCTTAGTCACACTGAGTCTTCATTTATAAGGAAGAATAGTAATAGAGCAATGCTTCCCATATGGGGCTGCTCAATGCATCATCTAAGGGTCTTAAAAAAATACTGAGCCTGATTCTCATCCCCAGACATTCTTAATATTTTTTTAAAGTTTGTTTGTTTGTTTGTTTGTTTATTTATTTGAGAGAGAGAGAGGGCATAAGCATGGGGGAGGAGCAGAGACAGAGGGAGAAGCAGGCTCCCCGCTGAGCAGGGAGCCAGATGGGGGGCTCGATCCCAGGACCCTGGATCATGACCTTAGCCGAAGGCAGACGCTTAACCGACTGAGCCACCCAGGTGCCCCTCATCCCCAGACATTCTGATTTAACTGGCATGAGATATGACTGGACACTGGGAGTTCGTAAAGCTCCCCAGGTGATTCTGGCATTCAGCAAATTTGGGAAGCAGTATAATAGAGTTTGGCTGTGGGGATTATATTCAACAACCTGTGCAAAGCTTCCAGTGTGGCATGACAGCTCCAGCAAAGGCAGCTGTTAGGAATAAAGAGATGAAGTCATGTTTGACTGCAAGACTCCCAAAGGGGGTGGGCGCCTGGGTGGCTCAGTTGGTTAAGCGACTGCCTTCGGCTCAGGTCATGATCCTGGAGTCCGGGGATTGAGTCCCGCATCGGGCTCCCTGCTCAGCGGGGAGTCTGCTTCTCCCTCTGACCCTCCCCCCTTTCATGCTCTCTCTCTCTCATTCTCTCTCTCAAATAAATAAATAAAATCTTTAAAAATAAAAATAGCTTGCTTGGCTACAAAACGTGTACCATTCTTTCCTGCACATATATACATGTAGATTAATTATGTTATATGTGTTAATGCATATATGTTAATATATAAATTAATGTTGGGGCACCTGGGTGGCTCAGTTGGTTAAGCGACTGCCTTCGGCTCAGGTCATGATCCTGGAGTCCCGGGATCGAGTCCCGCATCGGGTTCCCTGCTCAGCAGGCAGTCTGCTTCTCCCTCTGACCCTAACCCCTCTCATGTGCTCTCTCTCATTCTCTCTCTCTCAAATAAATAAATAAAATCTTAAAAAAAAAAAAAAAGACTCCCCAAGGGGGTGACCAACCATGTCCCAAGCCCTGACTTTTACCCTGCTCCACACTGCTTTTCTTCTGCATCCTCAATCAGGCCACTGGCCTGAGCATTTCCAAGGAAGAAGGTGGGGCTATCATTTTAGAGAGGACTTGAGGAGGGTGGACAGACTTCTGTCTTGTTGTTTCCAAATATGTTTTCCAGACAGCATCAGCTTTATTTCCAAATGAACTACGAGCTGTGTGTGTATGTCCTAAATGTCACCTGCAGCCCCCCTGCCCCTGGAGAGCAGCTCAGCTTTGCTAGGACTCCATAAAAAAACAGTCCCCAGAAGCCCAGAACCTTCTCTCCACTTTCTGTGTGGGTCCTCCATGTCCTTCCTGCTTTCATGCCTGGATCTCTAGGGCTGCCTCTGCTTCACATCAGCTGGGTGCAAAATGAACTTTTCCACCGACTTCCAAGATAAGCTCATTCCCACCAGGCACTTTATGAGTTTAATACATTCTAGCTAAAGATTTGAGGATCACAAGGTAGGATCATGGAGCCTATGACAAAGATTCTTTCATTGACCGAATCCACTCAGGCTCCCCTCAACTCTTAACTAGGCCTGAATTTTGGACTTCCATATTCATCTTTGCATTGTTCAAATTTAGCAAGAATCCTGCTAAGTCGGGTTAACCAGAACCCTGCCTCCCCCCCATCCTGGATGTCTAATCACCCTCCAAATCTTGTTCCTCACCCCCACCATCCCTGATCAGGTGTGATCCCCCTGCCCTGCCCTCAGCAAGAACCCTGATAGGTGGGTTTGAAGCCAGACACTTGGTTCTTGGACCCGTTTTGAAAGTATAAGCTGTACTATAGTTGTATTATTGACCTAGCCTCACATTCTGTTCTTTGTTTAATTATGTTTCCTTAAGCTCTGTGCATGATTAATTATTAACCTTGCCCTTTTCACTCTATCCCTTGTTTGCACATTGATTATAAGAATCTGACGGAAAACAGATGGTAACATTTGTCTTTTTTTTTAAGATTTTATTTATTTATTTGAGAGAGAGAGAGAGCACACAAGAAGGAGGGAAGGGCAGTGGGAGAGGGAGAAGCAGACTCCCTGCTGAACAGGGAGCCCGATGTAGGGCTCTATCCCAGGACCCTGGGATCATGACCTGAGCCCAAGGTAGACGTTTAACTGACAGCCACCCAGGCGCCCCAGTAACATTTGTCTTAAAATTATCTGAGGTCCCCAGGTCCCAGATGATGCTTCACTGTCCAGAAGAATACATACCTTCAAATGGTTTCAAGACTTCCCCCTAAAGTTTCAATAAGCCCATAAACCTCCCTTCATGTGCTCACATTCCTACATAATCATGTATAAACTGGCCCTAGATTGAACAAAGCAAGGCAGATTTGGGAACGATCCTCTGCCTTCTCGTTGGGTTGCCCTTCTGATAATAAAACTTTTTTGCTTCAAAATTGATGTCCCAGATGCTGGCTTACTGTACATCAGGTGCATGGACAAGTTTGAGTTTGGAAACAGGTTTAGCCAGAATCCTCCAACCCCTGATGTTTCCTTTTTCCGTTCATTGACCTCCACCTATATAAATTCCCATTGCCCGTGTTGAAATCAGAGTTGAGCCCAACCTCTCTCCCCCGCTGCAAACTCCGACCTCAGTGGTCCCTACACCCATCATGATAGTCCACTCCCACCTTGAATGAAGTCTTCTTCACTGTGCTTTAACAGGTGCCACTGAATAATTTTTTCTTTACCAGAGAGAATGAATTTTTCTTCCTTTGACATCTGCCGCCTTCCTCGGTCTCACAGGAAACTTCTTTTCTCTGCCACACAATCTGCACCTCAGCAAAACAAATTCCTCTCTTGGTTTCCTACAAAAAAATATGGGGAAATACACACTCTTCTATATTCTTTGTGGTAGCATGGATTGGCAAATAATCTATGGGGATAATTTTGCAGTATCTATGTATTTATTTTTATTTATTTGAAAGAGGGAGAGAGACAGAGATAGTGAGAGAGAACACGAGCAGGGAGGAGAGGGAGAAGCAGGATCCCCCATGAGCAGGGAGCCTAACTCAGGGCTCAATCCCAGAACCCTGGGATCATGACCTGAGCAGAAGGCAGATGCTTAACCAACTGAGCCACCCAGGTACCCCTGCAGTATCTATTTAAATTTAAAATGCACTTACCCCTGGGTGTTACATGCAACTGATAAATCACTAAATTCTACCTATGAAACTAATAATACACTATATGTTAAGTTGAATTTAAATAAAATTTTTTTTTAAATAAAATAAAAAATAAATTAAATAAGGTAAAAATGCACTTACCCTTTGGCCCAGCAATTCCACTGCTAAGAATTTTCTTCCATATATACTTGCACACACATGAAATTTTCAAAAGATTAAAAACAACCCAGGGGGTGCCTGGGTGGCTCAATCAGTTAAGCATCTGCCTTCCGCTCAGGTCATGATCCCAGCGTCCTGGGATGGAGCCCCTCATCGCATCAGGCTCTGTGCTCAGCGGGGGGTCTGCTTCTCCCTCTCCCTCTGCCTGCCTGTCTGCCTACTTGTGATCTCTCTCTCTCGCTCTCTGTCAAATAAATAAATAAAAACAACCCAAGTGTTCATTAGTATATGATGTAGTTTTAGAATGTTGGTGAGGTCTGGAGCCAACGGCCAAGAAAGAATTCTTGAGACATCTTTGGTGCAAAAAAGGTGATTTTAATAAAGCACGGGGACAGGACCTGTGGGTGGAGAGAGCTGACGCAGTGGGGTTGTGAGGAATGGCTGATTATATACTTGGGAGGTGGGGGAGGTGAGGAAAAAGGGAGGTGTCCAAAAGGACTTTCATCTGCCAAAGAAGACCCTCAGGATACTGGAGGCCTGGCTACTGTCAAGCTAAGGTTGTTTTTCCTTCTATAAGGCATTAACTTTTAAGAGGTTGGGAGCTTCCTGGAGGAATGTTATACTCTGCCTATCTCAGGTCCTTGTCAATGGGCTGCAGGTCATAAAAGAAATTTAATTTTAGGGGCGCCTGGGTGGCTCAGTCGTTAAGCGTCTGCCTTCGGCTCAGGTCATGATCCCAGGGTCCTGGGATCGAGCCCCGCATCGGGCTCCCTGTTCCACGGGGAGCCTGCTTCTCTCTCTCCCACTCCCCCTGCTTGTGTTCCCTCTCTCACTGTGTCTCTCTTTGTCAAATAAATAAATAAAAATCTTAAAAAAAAAGAAAAAGAAATTTTATTTTATTTACTTTCCCTTCTACCTTTGTTTCCCACATCACTCATGGAAGGGAGGTGGTGTTAGGGCTCCAGGAAATTGAGTTGTGGGTCTCTGGAAGTTAGGCTATTGATAAGAATGCCTTTTCCTTGTAAATCACTAAGACATTGGTAAACTGAGGGAGACTCATGTTTTGTAGGACTGTGATCTCTATTAATTAACCATTTGTTTTTCCTTCCCTTAGTTTTAGGGTAGCCAGGAGCCAGGAGTGCCTGAGGAATGTCACGCAGATCCCAAAGGGGGAGGTGTTTCGAGGTGTCAGCTTGTGCTTTGTCCTCAACTTGCCGTCTGCTCCCTCATCAGTATATACATGTTTAAATAAATTATGGTACTTCCATGTAATGAAATAATATCTAGCCATGAAAAGAATAAGGAAGCTCTCTATGAACTGATGTGGAATGATTTCCGAGAGATGTCAGGTGCAGGTTGCGCACACATATATTTGCTAGTACATGTATAGCACATCTCTGGGAGCACGTAAAATTAGTTGTTCATGTGGAGTGAAACTGGGTGAGAGCAGGAGAGTGGGGGCAGAGATATTTTTACTGAAAATGCACCACACTTTTAAAATTTGGAAACTTCGGGGCACCTGGGTGACTCAGTCGGTTAAACGTCTGCCTTCAGCTCAGGTCATGATCCCAGGGTCCTACGTGGGGCTCCCTGCTCAGCGGGGACCTTGCTTCTCCCTCTGCTGCTCCCCCTGCTTGTGTGCATGCTCTCACTCTCTGTCAAATAAATAAATAAAACCTTTTAAAAAATTTTGGAACCTTCGAGTTTATTGTTTATTCAAAAATTAGATTATAACTAGTGATAATAAAAAAGACTTAGTACAGTGTCTGGCACATAGTACGAATTCAATAAATGGTAGCGTATTATTATTATTATTGTTGTTGTTGTTGTTGGCTTGGAAAGACCTAGTACAATTTGGGAGTCAGATGGGTAAATCAAAGGCAATAAGGACAGGAGACTGTTGTTGAGGAAACGTTCTTGGAGGTTTTTGCTCTTTTAAAAGGGCAATTAGGCACATGCATTTTGACTTTGGCGTTTGAGGTGGACATAAAGTTTTTAGTGCCTTTTCGTAAGCCAGCTAAAGTAGCATTCTGAGTGGCCCCTGCCCAATACAGCGAAACTAATGCAACAGGCTGAGTGAGGATGCAGAAGAAAAGCATCACAATACAGCATAACCACCAGAGCAAACTGTAGGGGGATGAGAAGATTGCAATTGAATGGGGCTCAATGTTTGATTACAATAGACCCCTCAGTTGCCATAGAAACAAAACCACCTCTTTGAAAAAGATACCAATGGTGCCAGGCAGGCATACATTAAAAAAAAAAAAAAAAGACTAAATTAAAATGATGCACAGAATGGTAAGGAATGCTCCTGAAATCGCTCCATCTGGATGGATAAATGAGGAAAGCATGAAGATAACAAGCAGTCTACAATGCAGACACTTCAGGTGGGCTGACTGAAACAGCCTTCAAACTGCAGAGGAAAAATGGTATTTGAATCTTGGGCTCTTCCTCTGTGACCAGGCCCCAGGTGCTGGTTTCCTCTGGGATTTCGGATAAGCAAGCCCCCATCTTGTGGGCTTGGGTCAGGACGCCATCAAAACAGGATTCTGGATAACATGGTGGGAGAGAGAGAGAAAGAGGGGGCAGGAGACAGGGACACAGAGAGAAAGAGACAGAGAGAGAGGCACACAGAGACAGAGAGACAAACTCAGACCTTGTTGTTGATACAGTTTTTGGAGTGTGTTGTTGGAGTCCAGAGCCGACGGCCAAGAGAGAATTCTTGAGATGTCTTTGGTGCAAAAAAGGTGATTTTATTAAAGCACAGGGACAGGACCCATGGGTGAGAGAGCTGGCGCAGTGGGGTTGTGAGGAATCGCTGATTATATACTTGGGAGGTGGGGGAGGTGAGGAAAAAGGGAGGTGTCCAAAAGGACTTTCATCTGCTAAAGAAGACCCCCAGGATACTGGAGGCCTGGCTATTGTCAAGTTAAGGTTGTTTTTTCCCTACAGCAAAGCATTAACATTAGGGTAGTTGAAAGTTTCCCGGAGGAATGTTATACTCTGCCTAGCTCAAGCATTTGTCCATGGGCTGCAGGTTATAAGGAAATTTAATTTTATTTACATTCCCTTCTACCTTTGTTTCCCACATCACTATGGAGGGGAGGTGATGTTAGGGTTCCAGGAAACTGAGTCTGTGGGTCTCTGAAAGTTAGGCTATTGATAAGAATGCTTTTTCCTTGTAAATCACTAAGACATTTGTAAACTGAAGACTCAGGTCTTGCAGGACTGTGATGTCTATTAGTTAACCATTTGTTTTTCCTTCCCTTAGTTTTAGGGCAGCCAGAAGCCAAGAGGGCTTGAGGAATGTCACACAGATCCCACCTGGGGGGTGGGGAGGGGGTTGTAGGGTGTCAGCTTGTGCTTTTGTCCTCAGCTTGCCTTTTGCTCCCTCATCATTGCCAATAACCGAAAGCCAGCCGGGTGCTGGCTGACCTTCCAGGAGGGCAGTCTGGCAAACTGTACTGAGAACCTTGAAAAAGTGCATACCCAGGAATTCTAATTCAGAAATCTGTGCTGGAATTTTCATTACAGGGTCATTTACATTTGCAAAAATTTGAAGGACAAAACCCTCTAATAATATCAGTGAAAATTTAGAAAAAAACTAATGATACCAGTGAAAATGCTTACCCTGGGTATCCCTGTGCCAAGAGCTTTACATGTGTCCTCTTATTTAATCCTCTTGACAAACTAGGAGGGAGGCATTCTTTATTATCTCCAAGTTACAGATGAAACTGAGACCCGTGTAGGATAAGCAATATGCCTAGGGTCAATAAGTAAATGGCAGACCTGGGATTTCAACTCAGGTCCTTCTGAATAGATACCCTAAGCTCTTAAAAATTCACATTAAATGAATTATAACGTCATTATAAAGTGGAGTATTCTACAGACATTGATATTATGTTTATGAAGAATTTTAGTGACAGGAAAATGTGAGAAATGCAGGTCACAAAACTTGTATATTGCCTAATTCCAACTACGTTATGTGATTTTTATATCTTTGCAAACAAAAAAGACTGGGAGAAAATTATGGCTTTTAAAATATTCTACTGTCTGCTTTTCTGTACTTACAAGTTAAAAAAAAAAAAAGATTGTCAGCTCTTTGCAGATCTGAGTCTGTGGTTATGGGTAATCAGAATATTTTATTACAGTGTTATTTTCTTAAGAACAGACAAAACCCACAGAAAGTCAGAAAAATGTCCAGTAGCAAAGAGATCTTCCAAAGGTGGTGGGTCAGAGGCGGGGCCGATCAGCGTGGGCACCATTTCCAGCTGTAAGGAGGTCACTGAGCCCAGGGACAGCATGGGGAGGCTTTACAGCCTAGGGTGGCCCCTGGGGCTCTCAGAGCAACTTTCTCATTCTCTTTCCTTCTCCGCCTTATCCTCTTCCTCTTTCCCACCTTGTCCTCTCCTTCTTCTGTCCAACCTCTATTGGGAACTGGGGTCAATTCAATATTTGTGAAATGGTTGTTAACAGGGTGGGCATTGGTTTGTTTTTTTTTTCCCCCTTCCCCAGCATACATCTTCCCCCCTTTCTGGTAACAGTGTAATCTTGAGTTCTCTTTGTAAACTATTTCTACCCATGGGAGCTAATGGGGCTCCTCAAGGTGCCTGCCTTTACCCAGCCAGAGGATGGGCATGGGACTGAAATTAGCCAGTTGAAATCTACTAGGAATTTGAATCTTGAGCAGATGGCATAAGGATAGAAAATTGGGGAAGAGCATCATCCTGAGGGAGGATGAGACTTCCCCTTCAAAGAGACCACTCACTCCAAACCCAGAGCTTCCTTGGAACCTGTCTTTCCTAATGCCTGTCCTTTTGCTTTTCTTCTATTCTTTGAGCTATTCTTTATGCTTCCAAGGTTTATTTCTGTTGTTGCTGAGTTTTACTTCAGTTGGCCAGTCTGCTTTTTTAAATTTTTATTTTATTTTTTAAAAGATTTTATTTATTTATTTGACACAGACACAGTGAGAGAGGGAACACAAGCAGGGGGAGTGGGAGAGGGAGAAGCAGGCTTCCCGCCGAGCAGGGAGCCCGATGCGGGGCTCGATCCCAGGACGCTGGGATCATGACGTGAGCCGAAGGCAGACACTTAACAACTGAGCCACCCAGGTGCCCCTGGCCAGTCTGCTTTTGTTGCTCATCCCCAATTAGCAACAGAGGTTGCCTCAGTGACTGTGTATAGAGAGTCTCCGTAACTTGGTTCAGACATACAAAGAATAGGTGTTCATCTTCTGTTTCCCTCACTGGGTCATTCCAGGTCCTATCGCCTGGAGCTATGGGCCTTGTTCCAGATTTAGGAAAAGTGGCAATTTGGGTCATAGCTTTGCCCAGTCAGTGAGTGGCCTTGTTCTGTAGTCCACCCTCTTTTCTTTTTATCTGAAAGACTTGAGCCAGGGCCAGATTAAGAGGTAAGCCTGTAAGGCAGCTGCTGGTCTGGAGGGAAGTTATATCATCACCAGGGAAATGAAGGGCCAATGAGCTTAGGTCCCCCCAGGAGCGACCTTACAGAACTGATGGGAAGCTAATGAGTCTGCTCCACTGAGGGCAACATTGCCCTCTGGGGATCATTCAAACACTCTCCACTTTTTCTTTCTGATGTTTTTGAGACACACACATAAAAGTCAGATAAAATTTTTGTGCTAACCAATGTATGCAATAATGACCTTCACCTTGAACAAATGACTGCTTTCATTATCTATTAAACCCATCATTGTGATTCTCTGTGGCTTTCTGGTTTGGAAAACCATGAAAGAAAACGGACCAACTACAGGAAAGTGGGAAATGTTTTACTGATTTATATCAAAGCCTTGCCAATGAAGTGACTTGTAAAAAGAATAATGTAGAATTCTAGATACTAAGATGGACTATATTCAAGATATATTGTTCAAATAACAAGTTAAAAAATAAATCTTCAAAATTACATTTATTTAAAAAAACTGAAAGAACTCTCACACATTTTCTCAGAGTATGCCTGTATGTATTAACAGGCCTGGAAGGGTAAAACCCTTCTAAACTAATAAGTTACCTCTGGGGGTAGGGAGAAGGGAAATAGAATTAGGAGAGGTGGCCAAGGAAACTTACCCTTGTTGGTTGAATATTTTACAATAGGAATGTACTGGTTATGTTTCTGATGATATTACAGTAAAAATAAAATTTAAAAGGCATAAAAAATATAACTGCCCTGGTTGAGGAGGAACAGGGAGGGTGCAGGGCTGTGTGCCCGTGGCCCACTCTCGAAACTGCTCTGGTATCTTGGAGCTGAGTTTAGTCTAAACTCTTTATTTTTCATTTGGAGAAACTGAAGCCCAGGAGTTCACCAGAATGATTTGTCTGAGGCTGCAGTGATATTTTCTTGAGATCAGGCAAAACTCACTGAAAGCCAGAGAAAGGTCCAGAACCTCCCTCTCTTTCCCCGCACCACTCCCACCCCTCAACCCCTTCCCAGAAGGTGATGGAGATTCTGATTGCCTTGGTAACAGACCTGTTTGAATTAAACATGAGCTTGTTATCAGAGTGAAGGTTAATGACCTAATGATTAACAGCAGAGGCTGAATTGCAGAAGAGGGATTGTGCTAATTGTATCTGTGAATTCAAAATGCCTGGATTGGAGAGATTAATGTGCCTGTCCTACTTCCAGCTAGGAAGAGTGTGG